TGTGTGTGTGTACTGTACAACTAAACCTGACTAACATACATATATATTTATTAATTCATGGACTTTGGTAATCCCAAACATACTAGCTCAAGCCAGCCTCAACTGCAGACATAAAATAAGCCAAGTAATGGAGCACAGTGTACATACAGGGCCTTAAGGCTACAGTATGGAACTCTTTAAAAATATTTTAGTTGTAGAAATATTCTCCAAAACCCATCTTAATGTGAAGAGGTGCTTTTGAAGCCTCCTGTGACCTAGTCTCATTGACCAGCACTGACAGCAGGACTGACCTCTCAATCAGAGATTTTCAATTATTTCTGATTGATCAGTAAGTTTTGTTGCATTCTCATTTACTGTATTTTGATAACGACAACAATCTGAAGAGCTGGGCAGAGTGTGGCAGATCATATTAGAAAGAGGGAGTGGTGAGTGGATTGATTTGGAGTTTCATGCTAGTGCTACCTAAAGTTACATACAGTAGCTTTAATTTCACACTGTGATATAGCAACTATTAGCATTTGAATATTTTTTCTACACTGTTTTAGGTGTTTATTTTGTAAAACTATACTGTATAATATAGTTCAAAAGTTTCTGTTTATTTTGTATACTGTATAATATAGTTCAAAAGTTTAAGTACAAATGACAGTACAACGTTTAAATTAAAAAACATGACTTTTTATTTCTTGAATATACTGAAGAGATGTTTCATTACCCCGGTAGGCACCCTTTGCATGCTGCTTTGCTTCAGAGGAGAGATACACTGCACAAGGCACTTTGAATGCTGCCACTCTCTCAGCACTGAGGCAGCACAAAGGACATCATTCCACCAAGGCTAGTTACAAACAGAGACCAGTATGAACCACACAATCCCCTACAGCTTTAGTTTTAGCACATTTAGACTTTAAATAGAATCATATATTCAAACACGCAAATCTCACATCAGTAAAAATCAAACTTGCATGATATTTGTACAGACCTGCTCAAATTGACTTGCTTAAATGCACAGTTTGCTAAAACAATAGACACATAGTTGAAACATGAAAATCTGATCAAGCAAATAATGAGAGTCATCAAAAACAATCACAGAGTAAACCTAGACAGAAATTGGAGAAACAACGCTACAGTATGTTCACATCTGCCGCTCCCGGCATGATATCTGACTGAAGAACACTGCTCATTGTGTGAGGACAGAATAAACCCTCCTTCAACAGGGGTGTTACTTTATACCCAAGATTAGTGTCAAACCACTGGGTATGATCAACCTGATAATGCCTGAAGGGTAAAAGGTAGATCAAAATTTAGGTTCTTACTCCCAAGTTAAAGCACAGCTTCACTGGACATATAATGCCAATTGCACTCCTTAAATTTGGTACCTGTAATACATTTTTAGTAGTGCATTGTCGGGGTTTGTGAAAGAATCACACAGTGAAAAGAGGAAAAGAAACTGATACAAGCAGAACAGAGCAATATGTGAGTTGATACAACTGTACATCATTGCAGAGTGATGTGTGCGTGTGCGACATGACGTAACATGGCAAACAGGGCTGGGAAACAACTCCTGCATTTTCAACTCCTCCGGGACTTTGAGTGCTGGATGAGCCACTGAAGTGTGATATCTGGAATCAAAAAACACATACTGATATGAGACAGAAAATCGGTTATTGAGCTTTGCATAAAAATGGTAAAAATAAAATAATACAATAACAAATAAATGCTGTGTAAATTGCTGTAGCATTAATGCACTAAGCAACTGAAAGCTTCCCTGTGGAGTTTTAGACCTCTAGTAGAGCTATGAAGCTATTTTTCACATGTGGTTTCATTCTGTTTATCTCATGCACACACAAAAAATGCAATCCATATGTGAGAGCATGCGGGTGACACGATTCAATCCTACCAACTGTATTGTACTACTCCGCTCATCAACAGGTGGTGGTAATGTGTTGTGATATGCTAAAATACTCTGACAGAGGAAGGCTAGAAGGATATGGATGTGAACATTGTATAACTATAATAATAATTAAAAAAAACTGGCATCTTTTTAAGAGAGTGCCAGCATAAAAATTTTGATTAATTCCCTGTAGTACGTATAGGATGGGGATGTATGGAGTCTGAGAGGTGAAACCTGATGAAAAGTTCACATTGCTCACTGCTACTTGTTCATCTTATTGTTCTGAGCACACACACACACACACACACACACACAAGAAGGAAATTTCAGATGAACGCTGAACATTTTTATCATCTCTCTTCTTTCACCTGAATTATTGGAAGAGGACAGTGAGAGCAACTTACCAATGTTGTCTTTCTCTTTGCAGGAAATGGAGTAGCAGCATATTTCTCTGTCCTGAATAGCTGCCAGATTCCTAAGAAGGAAAATAAATATACTGTAAGTATGAATCCAGACTGTTCGTCAGTACAGCTTCCCAGCAGAGGGAGTCAGTTCCTTACATGATACCTAAAATTTAAACTGAAATGAAAGAAGAATCAGTCCTGATTTTATTTCCCCGTCATTAGAATAAAAGTAGCTGAACTGATGCACAATTAAAAAACAAAACCAGATATAATGTAGCATGTTTTAATATAATAATCCTGTATTAATTGAGAATTATTCTTTAAACACATCTCAAACCACATCTCATTAAATAGGGTAATTTTCATGATAAAAAATATTGTTGTGCATTAAAAAAAAGAACTGGATATTCAGCTGTAAATTCAAATTAAATACTTTAGGAACACTGCACCATTTTCAATACTTACATTTTCTCAATGAGCTGCTTTTCATTTAGAGCACTGGGGAGATCCCTTTTGTTACCAAGTACCAAAACCTAAAACCAGAACACAATTGAATCGGTACCTACAGCGAGAATGACAGACACAACCCACACAAAGTTTTGGATGACTGATCCTAGTTTCAGGGAAACACTTACAGGAATTCCTTGCAACTGAGGTTTATCTAATAAATTATGAAGCTCATTTCTAGATGCCTCCACCTTTTCTCGATCAGCTGCATCAACCATGTACCTAAAAATGAGTAACATTGAAACAATTAGTAACGCGTTTCACAGTATGTATAGTGCCTGTAATTAACATTCCCTTGTATTTATTTATCCGATATGTTTGAAAAGCCAGAGTACGGGTACTCACACGATTGCATTAACTCCCCGACAGTATCTTTCCCACATGCTCCTGAACCTCGGCTGCCCTCCTATATCCCAGATCTAAAGAATCAAGGAAACAACATGATATTCTTATTTCCAAATGTCAGTGCAGTGACTGCCATCTTGTAAAACCAATCTGTTGGTGTCATTTCACCGGCTGTAATTAAACAATCATGTTTTGATAACAGCAGATTGACTAAAACTGAACCTTGATGGTGACATTTCCTTTGGTGACCTTCCTCATGTTGAACCCGACTGTAGGGATCATGTCTTCACTGAAATGTCCAGACTGAAAGGAAAGACATAAGCATAAGTCATTTCTTATAAATGGGTAACTTTATATTACTGAAAAATATCACAATGTGATTGAGTGAAATATGCACAATTAATTTACAAAGCCCAAATAACAACATCACAAACACATTTACTACATACAGTAATTAGATACACTGCCAGTCAAAAATAAGGCCACACTTTCCCACTGAATTGAATGTGAAAATGTGTCCAAACATTTGACTGGTGTATGTTTCATCCCTGTACGAGAGCAGAAAGCCAAGTGTATTTGGTCACTGAACTGTTTTATCATACGTATGACAGTATAAGTGATGTTTCTAAGTGGGAAAATAATGGGACTTGTACAAATAGCTGTGTGCAACAATTAGAAAAATAAAACTATAACCATGACAAGTTGCAGTGGATCTCTTGTATAGTTTTACATCATGCTATTTACAAATGATGTGATTGTGCTGTAGCTTGGAATGAAATCTAATGGTGCCTATACAAGATTTAAGATTAAAATGGTGTCTGAAATGACATAAGTAGTTCATAAAAGACAAGGTGGACTTGCTTAAAATAAAAAAAAACTGTCATTGAAACAAACGAGGTAATTACATAAACCATTATAAAACCATAAAATTATTTAAACTGAGCATTATAAAAAATCTTGCTTGTGTATACTACCACTCAAAGTTTTGGACAGGGACTGGTGTTTGTGAAAAGCAAAAATGTTCTCAGCAAACAGAATAAATTATTTTACACCAAAGTTACAAACAAGCCAAGTGATAAGATACTGTAACTCGACACATTATGGCTTCTGTAACTGCTCATTATTGCAAATAAAGTAGGAATAAAGCCAAACATCAGCATAGAGAATCTATGGCATTCCCCTTTTACTGTACGTCAAGACTCATAAGTTGTCTATGCTCATTCTGCCTGCCCTTCATGGTAAACCCTGCAACTTGCACGGTCTGCTGTATGCACAGTTCAAAGCATGACTTGCCGGAGTCACCTGACGAAGTGGAAACAAGTGCTGCGGTCTTATGACTGAGGAGGGAGAAACCATCCCCGCTACAACTATTCACACACTCAAAACCTCGTGTCACCAGTGTGCTGCCAGAGCATTTTTTCTCATCTCTTCAGAGTAAAGGGGGTATGTTCCAACCCCAAACCCAACCCCAACCTCCTCCTCTTTTACCCAGTGACGTGTGCACACTGAAATCCAATTTGACAAAAAGTGGAAGGTGCTGTCTTCTTTTAAAGTTACATGCACAATAACATATGTGCTGGAGATTTGCCTTTTCATGTACTTTATTAAGATGAGCATGGGTAGTAATGATTGCTGCCTAATAATTAAATAGTGCCACTGAAGTTACCACCACAGTTCAGTGTTCCTAAAATACTTGCATCATTTGTTGAGATCAGGGCTGCAGCTAACAATTATTTACAATATCCGGTCGGCATAAATGGCTTGTTTTGTCGGATCAACAGCCCAAAATATAAACACACTGAATTTACAATGCAATAAAACACAGAAAAGCAAAAAATCCTCACAGTTGAGAAGCTGAAACCGTTGAATGGCAGTTTTGACAGAAGACATAATTTGTACATTTAACTCATTTTCAAAATAGTAACGGTACTTAATTATTTTGCTATTGATTGACTAGTAAATTAATTGATAAATTGTTTTCACTGTAGAGATATGTTGCCACTGATGTGACATTAAATCTAAAACTAAAATCTTATCAATCCAGCTGAAAATTTGTGAAAATTCAACCTTTGTGAAAAAGCTCCACTGATTAAAATAAGAGGACACAACAGGACAGAGAAGATGCCACTGCAGACCCGAGAGTCTGGCAAACAGAAAAGTCTAAAATGTTTTGGCTCTTGTCAGCTTCGATACATAATTTCTTGGCATTTCTCCCTCTTGTATTATTCATTGTGTCCGGACTTTGATAACGCTCAGTTTGAAGGTCAATTAGCTGTAAAGTATTCTAAATATAAATGATTCCCCACTGATCTGACGCATACCAGATATAGTAGTGTATTTTTACACCAGTCTAAAATGCTCTACCCCAATTAAACACATGACCGTAGTCACCACCATGAACTGATAACATCTCTGATACTCAGAGGAAGGTTTTTCACAATATGTTGCTTAAGACACCAGTTGTTATGTAGAGATTAGCCAATGAACATTGCTCCACCAGAAACACTGGTTATGAGAAACTGTTGCAAAGTTTCTTAAGAAAAATGGCTTGCCCAGAAAACCCGATGCTCTCCAGCCTCAGTCACAAGAGTTTGCTGCATTAGATACAATCTGTGTCTTTAACACAATTTGTATCTAAAGCAGCTGCAGTAAGAGTCATTTCAGATGGTTACAAAAGCATCAACTGCTATTTATGTTATATGCTGCGTTTAACTGAACAGAGTTCATTAAATGCTACTAGTCACTATAGCTGGTGTGTTGAGAGCATCTGTCCCTATATACGTTACTGGTGACCATGCATTCAGCCATCAACAATAACTGGGAAATGGATAGATGTACCAGTTTAAAAGTAACTGGCCCTGCCTCTTTTCATCATCAGTGAGTCAGACTTCTACTTTTATGTGACAGATTTCCTAAGGCTTGCATCTTAGGAATGATTTGAAATCTGTTTTTGACTGGAAGCCTATTTCAACATGCTGCAGATGACCAGTACAAAAAGTGTACAGGTGTGATCCATCTTGATTGGCTGTTTTTAAATTAGCTTCCTGGCCACTTATCTTGGAAACAATCAAATCTATTGCAAGTCCCAACAAATCAAATATATGTTTGCTGCATTTGGGTTTAGCATGCTAAACTAACGTTATAACTGGCCGCCCAGCAGCAGCAAACTAGTTCAGCTGACTTTGTGTCAGTCTCCGGTTCAGGCGTGTTTTTATGGATGATGCGGTCCCAAATAGAGTGATGTTATACAGTTACACTGACACGAAACCCAATTAGGGATAACAGCTGCATCACTTAGTAGCTGTTATCCCCATTATTAGCGCTAACGGTATTAGCAGTACCCTAGTAAGGTGGCTAGCGGCAGCTGAAGACTTACAGCGATCACGTTTACAAATGTTGTTTTTCCCGAGTATTGGAGGCCCACCAGGGTCAGCTCCATCTCCTCCTTCCAAAATAGAGACCTGAACCAGTCCAAAAGCCGGTTTATTAGCGCCAGCATCTTGACGTCTGCGCTTACACTCCCTCGTCCTTTTGTCTGCCCCCTCCCCTGTCAGATGTGGCGTTTTCCAGCAGCCAAAGGAAGTGGGTCGCAGGTAGCTGTCATATGATCAGTTAGCCAAAACATGTGCTCCACAGCGCCTCTGCAGTCGTCTGGAGGAAGTACACTCACTTTTACATGGCACCTAAAAACCGACTAAAAACGTGAAACTTTTTGATTTGATTTGATTTATTCTTTCAAGCATATAAAACAGTTGATAAAGTTGATATAACAACACACATTTTTACACACAATAGTACATTTTAACCGTATTATAACATTTTTTTGATGCATAAATAGGCCTGTGCCATAAACTCAGTCTGATAATAATTGGCAACATTGCTTCATTTATGAGATGTTTAGATCATTCACATTAAATTACTCTAAAACCACTGCCCGGAATTAACAGCAATCCTACCTTCTGGAAAATTAACCTGCTTAGATCTGTATGTAAAGCCATGTAATTCAAATGACATTAGTACTTGTTAGGAGGAAAGATGGATACAATTAAGTTGAAGTGTCCCATATTTCACAAATGGAAATCCAAGCAGTTTTATTTGCCCCACTTTAAAAAATGTGTTTTAATGGACAGCATGGTTTTCCTACAGTAATGTCATACAGACATACTGTATATATATTCTTATCCTGGAGAGCAATACCAGTATTATTTGGGAGCTCTTAGTCTTGTAATACTGAATGTTGAATTTTTAGGCATTTTTTTTCCAATTACATTAGGCTACAATAATCAATTGTTACAAACTACATTAGGCTACAATAATCAATTGTTACTTATTTCATTAGTTTCTAAGGTTTATAGCAGTGTTTGTGTTGTAAATCTCAATTTTGTTTTATATGATAAAACACATGTACAGAATATTAAAATAGATAAACCGGGAATGTTTCTTAGGTTGCAGCATAATGAGCCCAATGAATCCGACCTTGCAGTTACTTTAACTACCCACTGATCCACTTGACCACCCACATCATTAGATGACAAAAACAACATTAGGTTCTTTAGAAATGTAAAGCATTTATTTCATTGTTTAAATAATATCAGAAGATTTAAAAACAATTTCTACAGTCACACTCTAACCGTCCTTGGAGCATTTTGAAAAGTAGGCAAAGTGCACAGTAGACACTGAAATAGTTCATGGACAAGCACTGGTCTTTCAGTTTTCTATCCAGAATGACCCTCTGAGTCTGGAGATCAAACCAGGCCCATTTTCTTCACAACCTTGCATCTATAACCTTTGCAGGTTTCTCTGTTTAAAGGGTTCTCTGTGGGTGGATACCGAGCAAAATGCCTGGTAATATTACATCACATTAACATTGCAACATTAATCTTAGTATTTTTTATCCCACATGCAGTTGCCCAAAACTGTTACTGTCCTTGCATTCATCCGTAACGATGAAGTGGAGCCCACTCTCCTCTTTTGACAGGTGAAAGTCACTGGTGCTGGTTAAGACCCGTAAGACAGGGTTATTATCTGAAGCAGAAAGAAAAAAAAAATATTTTGAAATCTGTTGTGTTTTCTTTTGTTTTTAATCCTCATCAGCCCACATTTGTACAACAAGAACTCTCTTCCTTTATTGGAACTCCCTCCAAGTCTATTCACAACATTCCCAGAACACAGCGCCTCCCTGGCGGTACTATGTGTAACCGCACTGATCATTACAAAATCAGTAGCAGAATGTCACTATTTCATCAGTGTTTGCCCACTGCAGCTACGTCATATTCTTACACCTACAGTATGTACACACTTCTTAGTCTTAGTCTCCGAATGTTCATTTTCATCTAGACTGTTCAACTAAACAAATATTACCTATTGTCTCCTCTTATTTTAATTAAAGCATTTCAATCTTTATTTACCTGTATTTTATATATAAAAAAGATTGTAAAGTAAGACAGAAATCATATACAGTTAAACAGGATTTTGCAGGGGAAACACTTCAAGAATGGCTCCTTTACAGCGCTGATTTTTAAAAAAATGACTTTGAAAGACTGTGGGCCATAATAAACAACCACTTTCACTTCACTTCTATAAACAGGAAGCATATTCTCTGCTGCTCTTACCACAATTGGGTAAACAACATCTTCTTGCATCAGAAAACAAAATAACTTTTGGATGTATGGGTACATATTGTATCACCCTTGGATGTTTTTTTATTGTTTTGTCTTAAAACACTGAGTCAGCGGGAAAAGCTGCTGACACATGGGCCGTGGGCAGCCTGATAGAGTTTGAGTAGTTTTGCAAAGAAACAAGGGGGAAATTACAATGCCCAATGAATTGCCCCTCCCCCTTTTTTCGGAAGATGGCCTTTACAGCTGTGCCATACTGCACATTTCCATTTCTTCATATTTGATTTAACTGAGCTGGAAGTGATGCGGCTGCAATCACAGTGCAGTGATTCTCCTCTGAGTTTCCTTTTGAGAGAACGGTGTTTTCTCATAACAGGACAGACTGGTCACCTGAACCTTTTACATTATATATCACATACATTATGTACCAGATTAATCTGATCTTTCAAGTACATATATTTAATTCTGTTTAACATCTAACCTAATCTTAACCTGAGCAAATACAAAGCAGATGCTGTGTGTCAAGCCACATATCTGCTCTTTGCTTGGGTGAGGATAGAGTTCAGGGATGCATTGCGTCAAGGGTAGGTTAGGGTCTGGAAAATTTGTGTTTCTTATTGTGCAGCTCCTAAGATTTATGACGGCATGGCCTGACACCCCCCTCTTTGGGGTCAAATAATGGGTAGACACCATTTAAACCGTATACTGAGCTTGCTACATTTAATTGTGTATTATTGACTACTATATACAACCCAGCACCTTGCTGTACAGTTTTTGTTAGACTATTCACCTGCACAGTGCATATTAACCGCATTGTACAGATATTGCTCACTCTTTTGTTTTCTATTTTCATTTAATTCTATTTATTTTATACTTAATTTTGTCTCTTTTATATAATTTGTATATAAAATGATTGTATATAATTTTGTATATATAGTTATTCCCTGCTTCTTTTTGTCTTTTTCACAGAATTACTTTGAGGGTGTGTTTCTTCTAATAGTGTAGGTTCAGCCATGACTCACCAGAAGTTAGACTTTCCAGATATAGATGTGTTTTCACAATCAATTGAAACACCATGGCTACAAACTACAACTAATCTAAAGTGAACAAATTAAGTGATGATTTAGATGTATCCTTTTTCAGTACTTAGGTAAACAGTTTGTACTTGCAATTCATTCAAATCACTTTGCAAAAAAACTGGATTTACTGTGACATTAAATGGTTTACATTTCTGTTGAGTGTCAAAAAAGTCACATTAAATATACTTTGATTCATGAAACATGAAGACTGTGCGCTTTGTCCAAGTGAAAAACATCTTTCTTTACCAATTGGCTCACTTTGAATGTTTTTGTTTGTTTGTTTGAAAAATCAGTTTTAAAAAGACATTTCTCATTTACTGACTGTTACTGACGTAATGGCTGATTTCTAACAATCACTCTGGTGTTTTACTATAATAAATGCAATGTGCATACATGTAATGCAGGTATGTATACAGTTGTATGTTCAGTTGACATCTCTGACATCATGTTTTCATTAAGGCTTACTTACCTGCTCTGAGTTTCCTTGTATGCTTTATACATGCATAAAGTAGAAATACCAGAAGAATGAGAGAGGACAAAACAAAGCCAATGCCAAAAATCACATGAAGCGAGCCGTCACCATTCTCCTGCTTCTCTGCTGAAACATCAAAGCAGGTTGGTTCAAATAAATGATACTGTAATTATGTAAACAGTAGGTATAGAGGATAACAAAAATGTGGTAACAGCTGCTTCATCCATCTACTGCCATTAACAACTAAATATATGTAATGTTAGTAAAATATACTGTTTTGTCTACATACCATGTATCTTACAAACAGAGTCATGGGTTTTGTTTCCAGGGCAGGCAGGCTCACAATGATATGAATACTTTATCAACCCTGCACCAGAAGACATCTCTGTAAAAACAGATAGATAGATACTGTAGCTCTTCATCACTCTCCCAGCTCCTTTTACTCAACTCCCCTCCAAAAGAAATGACTGTTTGAGAGATATTAAGGCATTTCAAATGTATACATGCATAGTCAGACTTCTGTAACTGTTGTGTTATAAATAATGTGCTCTTGGTTTATCCAGTGACAAGTTGGCATTAGGGACATTAATCCAACCTCCACAAGTGGCTGTCTAACACATTTATTTCCATTTGCACACATCTTAAAATCCCATCATATGCAACAGTGATTAATATTCAAATAGTCAAAGCAGTATGTAATTTTGAAACTATCTTATAAATAGCAACTTATTTCTTTTAGCTCAGAATATGTCCACTCTCACCTGTCTTCTTCACTTTTTCCCCTGTGACACATTTGTTTTCCTCGCAAATTGAACAGACACTGTTGGAGCACAGGAAACCAGAGCGACATGAACACGTCGCATCCGTGGTTGGTGTACATTTCTCACCATATTCTGTTCAAAGACAAGAATTCAAACCACAAGATTTCCAGATGTTAAAACCATTTTTTCTAACACTGTGTTAACACACAGAGCACTGTCACCATCACTGACACCATCACTGGTAGGTGTTTCAGAACTGGATTTTCCTTTATCAAACCCCTTATAATTATTTTCAGTCTTACCATGTTGGCATGACTGGCATTTCTCACATCTGTCAAACATGTTGAATTCACTTGCGAAGTATCCCTCCTTACAAGGGCTACAGATGGTTTTCTGGTGCTCAGAGCAGAACTCCACCATATATTTACCTTCAAAGCAAGAAACAAATGGAAACACTTTATCAATATGCATGAATATGGATATTCTTAAGTAGTAGGCGTACTCTGAATTCACTCTCATCTTATATCATAAACAAACAGCAATTTTTAAATCAGGCAGTTCAACAGATTTATATTATTATTTATTCTATCGTGTTTTACCTGGGGGACACTGGTCACAGCATCGTCCACTGACTTCAGTTTGTCGTTCTCCACAGCCTCTAACATAACCGACTGTCCAAATGCTCAGTACTACCAAGGAAAGCTTCAGAGGAGCCATTATGTCCAGTGCTCGGTTCATGCCTTCAGGGTTTTATCTTGTGTGGCTGCTGACGTCAGTGTGAATGTTAATGTGGTTACCTCTGCGAGAGACGTGTGACTTTTATTGTAGTTCAGGAAGTGAAAGACCACTAAGAAGCAGTGAACAATTTAAGAGCAAAATAAGCTCAGTGTTGTTTTGTTTTATTTTTTTAGCAGTATAAATATACTAGATGTTTCTTGTGATTTCATTTTATATATGGAAATCAGGGCAATTTAACTTGTCTTCAGGAGGGGAAGCTTGGTGTTTGTCCTACAACAGCAAAACTGTGGACATCACATTGTGTTCATTATTATGGATCTATCTTTTAGATGTTTTCTTATAAAACATGCTTTGGTGTTGGATGTATGATTTTAAGTTTAGCTTTCAAACACTTCTGCGGGGACTGGGGATAAAGCAGTGGAGGTTTAGCTACCAGCTGCACAGAGACATTACCAAATTCATAAGACCTGATATATCCATACACATGATTAGCATACAGTCATCTCCATCCTCCTTTTTGAGATCATAGCTTATCTTCATGGACCACATCAGACAACCCCCCACTGTTAATGGGTTAAGTTTTGATTGCGTGTTTCATTTGACATAGTTAGATTTTTTATCTTTTGGAAAATGAATCTACTTGCTCCTAGCTAAATAACACATATAGTATGCAAACAATCTACCACAACCTGATTTCCTAAATTTTGTCTTTTTCATTCCTTAGTAATTATTTTTTGAAAAGCAGTTGAAAAAGATCAGCTGATATCTCATTGTGGCATGTTCCCTTGATTGAGAAATGGTCTGTAATATAAAACAATAGAACGCCTGCAATTTTCCTGATTTCAAGGAAAAAAGACATTTTAATGCAAAGTTGATTAGTTTAACACGTAACTGACAAAATTACACATGGAAAAATGCAATAACCAGTAAGTGAAACAGTGCCCATGACATTAAGAAGACAGTCACCTGAAACACAGCCTAATGTGAAAATGACTCAGCTTGGTTCCTGGGAAACCCAGCTGTAAAATCTATTTTGATATCAAATGTTAGCATAAAGCCCACTGCATAGAGAGATGTCCCCAGCCTTTCGACAGCAAAAGATGAAGTATATGTGCTGCAATCAAATCCTAAAGAGTCACATGCTCTGAGTGTATTAGATATGTTAACCCAGGACTCAATTTTTTTAAATATGGATATTTACTTTCAGTAAACCTTAAATGCATAAAATGTAGTTAAGCTTGCAGTAGCACATATATACAGCTGGTAACCTTGTAGTTTTTCAGAATGACTATATGGTTTTTTTGATGTGCAAGTACATACTGTATTCAGAAATGCATGATGATGTGTACAAAAGTACTGCTGTCAACTTACAGATTGGGTGTGAGTGGGTTTGTTGACATTTGCTGTGGTTTGGAGGTGGAGGCAGGGTGCAGGGGTTTCCAGATAAATGCATCATGTTGTTGAAATAAGTAATATATGATTCAGTTTAGTCACATTACAAAAAAATTAATTACAAACAGGCTTGATAATCAGTGGCAAGTCATTTATCAAGCAAAAACCCTATACATTTGCTGGTTCTAACTTCTCAAATATGAGAAGTGTTTTTCTCTGTTTACAGTTTTTCTCTATCACTTTCATTCATTTCTCACAACAGAATTGAAGTTTGCAGATCTCCAAGTGCATTTCTCAAAACAACAC